AAGTAGCCATGAAAACAATTAGAATGCTCACGCAGAGTTACGTGGAAGTATAAAAGAACACACTCTTTATTACATTTCGTGTTGTTTAAGGATTTTACCCAATTCCTGAACCGTGTTAGAAAAGCACCGTGTGATACGGGGGATGTTCCCAATTCTGTAACTGTGTTAGAGTGAATCTGTGCTATAGAAGTGCCGTGTTATACGGGGGTTACCTGTATTTGGTTTTACATGTAATCATGTGGGGAAAAATGATTCACCTTACGACATTTTCATGATACGATCTCAGTTTCAGAATGGATTAATTTCGTATCCTGAGGTACCACTGTACATCATGTCATTTAGCTCTGAAAGAGATGAGAAATATGTGACCAGAATATGGCCTCAGGTTCTTACATTCTATAACCATTTTCCTTTTTTAAATAAATTTATTATAAAATAAACACAAAAATATACTTTAAAACATCATTGAAAAATATGGTTTTTTTTTTTTTTANGTCATTTAGCTCTGAAAGAGATGAGAAATATGTGACCAGAATATGGCCTCAGGTTCTTACATTCTATAACCATTTTCCTTTTTTAAATAAATTTATTATAAAATAAACACAAAAATATACTTTAAAACATCATTGAAAAATATGGTTTTTTTTTTTTTAGGAACAAAAAACAAATATGGAAAGTCACTCAATAACAAAGTTAATGTGTAAATTTTTGAAAAATGTACACATTTTTAAAAATTTTCAGAAAAAAATTATATGGTATTTTTTTTTTTAACATTGAAAAGGTTATTTTATTAGAACCCCATGCTAGAGATGATTCATGGTGTCACTTCAATTTTATTTCTGTTAATGAACATATTACATCAAGTTTGTGATTGTGTATGCTATCCTGATGTTGATGACATTGCTTAAATTAAAGAATTCTTCAAAATTAAAAATTTTTGTTGTTTAATGTTTGGCAAATTATGTGTGGTAGGTCTCTATTTGTATGACCTTGATTTGAAAAAATTGAATTTTTTTTATATTGTAGTAGTAATTATTAATTGGTTCACTAATTGTGTACAATAATTTCTGGGGAAGTTTTGGGTCCTGAAAATATTCTTCCACTGCAGAAAAGTTTTAAGTTTCTTAGTTTTTATATAATACTATAGAAATGATTGTCAGATAGTCCGCATCGCAGAGCAGCATAACCAGGAAGCAACAGGAGAGAAAAGCCTAAGAGATAGTCCGAGAACGTATTGTAGAAAAACTGGCAACTCAGAAACCTCAAAGGTACACGGAGATGAACAAAAAAAATTGATCAGTCCTGAGCACAATGAATGAAAATCCATCACCCCTCATGGAAAGGGACAAAAAAAAAATAACAGATGAAAGGGGACTAAAGATGAAGCGTGCACTGACACATGTGGGGGTGAAAAATAAACAGAACCACAGTCCACTGAAAGTAGACAGCCGGTGAGAACAACAATCGGATCAGATCAAAAAACAGTTCAATTGACAGTTCTCCAAACATCCATTAATTTAATGTTATAGTCGTCATGTTCGCCATGATATTCACAATTTTCTGTATCCCAATTTTTCCGATATTCGCATGCTCCAGAACCTCAACGACATCACCGAATCCAAGAACATTACATGCAATCTCTACTACAAAACCATATCCATCACAAAGTTGCATACCAGTAAGAATATCCTCTCCCACGTATACAAAAAAAGTATGGTTAAAGATTAATCAGATTAAAAAGACGATCGCGTCAAAGTGCAAAATAACTAGAAAGTATGATAACTGCTAGGTAGCAAAAGGGTATTGACCTGGCTGAGAAAAAACATATTTACCTTTAACCACGTGTCCGTGTGTTTTATTTTAACCATGTAACACAAGTAGAGAGAGAGAGAAACCGAATCTGTATACTAGTCATTAAATAAACAATAATCTTGGTAATAGAAGTACAAGTTATGAAAACAAACATGTAAACAGGAAAAAGAGAGAGTAAAAGTCCAACTGTTACCTATTTATGTTCTTATATCACCATATAAAATTGAACATGTACTTTCACAAATAAACCTGATTTTTTAAAAGGCCGGAGTGATGACAGAGCAGAAATTCATATATTTGAACTACAGTAGAGCATCGATTATTTGACTCAATTTGGGACTCGGGTTGGTCAGATAACTGAAAAAACTGATAATGCATTTTTTCATACTTCCCAGTTATTAGTATAGTATAGTACAGTAGACCCCCCCCATAATGCGAAGATATGTTCCTCGTTATACAAATTTCGCGTTGTAGGAATCCTTGGGCTGTGATTGGCTCACGTATTTGACACGTGTCAAGTTTACGGACTACGGCTGTTTGAAAGATTTTCTTCCATAAAATTAATCGATTCTAGACTAATTCGACTCAATATTTCCAAAATACGTATATATTTTTTTTGAATAATCCGTATAAACTACGCTATAAACAAAAAATTGTAGGATTACTTACCGAGTGTCACCATTCGACATTGCCATTGCTCAACATTGTTTTCGTCGCGGAACAGCTCAGCAAAGAGCGGCCGATTTCTAACAACTTATTTTTCTGTGAAAACTTCGTAGAACTTCGGAGACATCATTAATATAAATAATTTTAATCGCCGTTGAATAAGAAATGTTTCTTTCACAAGAAATGTATAAAATTACAGTACTGTATTAGACTTACGGTACCTAATTTACATACTGACAGACGATAGTTAGCGTAAAAATCTCCGTAGCGTGGCGCCACGCTAGACGGCGGAAATTATATATTTAATTATAACAAAGTTACAATAAGTTAATATATAATTATATATACAGTACCTAATTTATATATAATTAATATATAATTATATGTACAGTACCTAATTTATATATAATACTGTACAGACGATAGTTAAACTCAACTTACCCGCCTAAACTCTCCGTAGCGTGGTGCTAGACGGCGGAAAATAGTTCGGCTGCTCGTCCGCAATGACGAGTTGGCAATGACGTTTTACCACATTTTACGTGTCCCTTTTAGCCTCTTTGTACGAATACTGACGCAATTTTTTCGCCGCATTATAGGAATCTATGTTATTGGAACCCGCGTTATAGGGGGGTCTACCGTATTATATCTCATGTAATTAGTATATTGGTATATCACTATTAACCTACTTCGTGTTGAATTTTCATAGATATTAAGCCAAACAAAATTTTTTTAAAATAATAATCATCGCTATTGTGTCATTAGAAATTTTTAAATTATTTTATTGCTTACAAAACAAAGAACCACTCATAATTAGAAAATTAAGCCTTGTTTAAACACTGGCATACCTTTCATGGTAGAGCCAGTGTTGCCAGCTAAAACACCAAAAATTTAATGAAAATAATATTAAAGTAGCCAAGACATAGCCAAATATTATAGTGCTGCATCACCAGCGGACATCTGAATTTGCCGACGCAGTCGGTTAATCGGTGTGACGGTTGATCATGGGTCGGATAATCGATGCTTTACTGTAGTCTTTAATACTAACATGATTCGAGAGACATAATGATTGTTGTTCATGGCTACCTTAGAAAGTCTCCCGTTACATTTTCTCGAAGGCAACATGATGCTTTCTCATGAACTATTAATCTCTGCACGGCCAAAATCGTCTGTAAATATCGCCAGATGGCTGAAAAGAGTTAGTTGCTGTTTGCTTTAGTCCTCGGAGAGGAAAGAAGTCTTCGCCCATTTCGTAGGATAACCTTTATCAACAACCATTTTTTTGTATTAGTGCACGATAGAGCCTGGATATTTCAACGGGACATTTTGACTGGATATTTCACCCTTGGACAAATCCTGAAAAAGCCTATAAGAAGAACTATTACCTGGTTCTTCGATTTGATACAACCTTGATCAGGGTATCTATTACCAAAGGTATTTATCACCACACGAACCTTATGTGTACTCTCTCTCTCTCTCTGCGACAAAACTTTAGAACCTCTGTATCTTATCCAATTTATTTTTAATTAAATCCTTGTTAAGTGTTAATTGTAGTCTCTTCCACATGCTGTCTCTCAATCAGCTGACATTACAAATCCGTCTGTCCACTTACGGACCACTCGTGCAACAGTGTGACGTAATAATTGTCGTCTCGGCTTCCGCGTTATGATAAACACAGTGGTGTCAATTTTGACAGGGCACTAAAAAGATGCCAACCCGAAAGGTCACATTAGTATCCAGATTTCGGTTCTAGCCTTATCAAGTAGAAGCTACTGTTTTGTACTTAGTGGCTATAGATCTAGAGTTTTGAGCTGAAAATCTTGAGATTGACTAACACACTAGCATATGCAATATATAATTTAAAAAAGACTTATTGCTTGAATGCATGCAATGAAGGAGTGATATTATATTTGTCATTTTGTTAGCTCAATCTTTTCAGTATATGCTGGATTGTTTGAATTTTGCAAGGTTGGGCTTTATTTTATAATTTATTCTACATTCTAGTTAGTTTTGTTGGATTTTCATTAAGACGTGTTAAGTTTTTGGGCTGTGAATACAGCTTATTATTTGAGCTTTTCATTGTGTACCTGATTTGTATTTTTTTAATACAATTAGTCAATTTTCTGCATATAAACATTTCCTGTTCTTTTTTCACCTGTTTACTAGATATTTAATTTCATCATTTGTTGCCTTAAGTCTAAAATTTTATCATTTTTAAACTTGTATTTATCATGATAATTTCTTCATTGACGAGTTATCATTTAGTTGTGAAATGTGAAATTTTCAAATAATAATTTCTAATCACATACCTGAAAATTATAAAAATTTGTATTTCAATATTTAAAGTTCACATAATTTAAGTGTTTGTTTGCTTTTGAAAAAATTCTTTTAAAAAACCAAATTTGTAAAAGCTGTAATAAGTATTCCTTTCTAAAGATCATCTAATTGTAAAATTCAGATTAGAAAATATACAGAATGTATTTTTCACTATTTAAAAAGTTGTAATTAGTATAAATTTTTTATAGTGGCATCCAATGGCAGGACGAGGTAGTGCTCAGAGGCCTAATGGATCAACTCAAGGAAAAATTTGTCAATTTAAGCTTGTTTTACTTGGTGAATCAGCAGTAGGAAAATCAAGTTTGGTTCTTCGGTTTGTGAAGGGACAATTTCATGAATATCAAGAAAGTACCATTGGAGGTAAGCTTTTTAAGTCACTCAAATTTATATATATATAGTTAACTTAACTTATATAGGTTTGAAATTACTAGTTTCCTCTGAAAAGGAAAATTTTATCAGACTACTGAATGTACTTCTGAAGTGGCATCCTTATATTTGTTTTTTCTCAACTTTTTTATGCTTCATACTTATTTCATCTAATAATAAGTACAGGTAATCCCCATATAACACGGATTCACTAACATGGTTTGAGAATTGGGAACATCCCCATATAACACGGTGCTTTTATAGCATGGGTTTACTCTAACACAGTTTGGGAATTGGGTAAAACCCTCATACAACATGAAATGTAATAAAGGGTGCGTTCTTTTATACCTCCGTGCGAGCATTCTAATTTTTTTTGTGGTTACTATGAATGCTCTTTCAACAAATAATCCATTTAATGGTTAAATTTTTACAATTGGGACCCTTCTTTTGCCTCAAAGCTCATATTTTAGAATTATAGATTCCTCCATCATGATATTATCGCTAGTGTGGGTGCCGGTATCTTTCTTTCACTGTCGTTCCTAAATGCCTACAAACAGCAGCGCACTCCTATTGTAGTGGAGACGCAGACCAACTGCTATTAACGAACGCACCCAAAAACTGTTACCAGTTGATGATGCTCATGCTGAGATCATCGTATAGAATGAATAATCCTCTGGTAAAATATTTACTTAAATAACAAGTATTTTACCCATAAAAAAAATGAATAATCTGATTTAAAGAAGAATTAGCAGCATGTTTTTAATTTTTGGAACCTAACTCCCCTTTTTGCACTAGTTCTTTGTTTTGTATAACATGGATTCATATAACATGGCAATTTTTTGGAATGTAACTCCCATGTTATACAGGGGTTACCTGTACTTTTTAATTAGTAGTATTATTAATTAATAAAAATGGTAAAACTATAGAAACTTCCATTGAGTTTTCTTTAAATTTAAATTTTTTTTAAAGACACACAGCAAATATTCTTAATTCCTAACCCTGATCATATATTTAATGTACAGATATAAACATATATGGAAACTCGATGCTTAGCAAATAGACATCCACGATTGCTGTAAATAATCGGACTATAATTTGGAATATTAATTATGAATTAAAAATAAATTTGACACTAGAGGGAGGCATTATGTGCCATCTCATATTAAATTTAATAATTATAATAATTAATTTAGAATAAACTGGAAGAAAAGAATTGGCCCAAAGCAGGACTCTAAACCGCAACTCCTGCTTACCGTGCAGGCATGATGCCAGTTACGTTACCCGGACGTTCGGTCCGATTTCCTCTTCCAGTATATATAAGCCTAATGTATAACCGTTGATGGTTAATACAGCTATAAAAATATATTTTGATGGCTTATCAGACAGTTCTTATCAATAACATAGATGTAATGTATCTGCACTCTAACAGAAGTTGAGCCAATATAATAATCTATTTTCAGAGATTTGTCATTCACCTGTAGAACCTGAATTTTGATCATTTTTCTTGCTAACTCTGCATATATATATATGCTTCTCAAATAAATATTTGTTAAAATTGTGTGTGCAATTTTGAATGTAGTAATAGGATGTTTTGTAGCATTTTGTCTTTTGGTTAATCATCAGATATAAGAAAATTTTTGCACTTTCATATTAAATGCTAATTTGATTATAGGCTTTATCACTAATTTTTTTTATATGAAGTGTATACTTTTTGAAATGTAATCCTTAAATATTGCAATTTCATAAATATTGAAGCCTGAATATTATATATAAGCATATTCCCTTCAGGTCAGATTTTATTGTTTGGCAACAGCTAAATGTTTCTTCCAACAAGTTTACCATTATTATTACAGTAGAGCGTCGTTTATCCGAAGGTCGGTTATCCGAAGGAATTCCAGTCGACAAATTTAAATTTTCGCCAGTGCTCTGGCGCTGTAATCTTTCGCTATGTCTTCGGCTACTCAAATATTTTACGTTTTTAATACTAAATTAACTTCTGAAGTATAATTTTTTATTGTTTTTATATTTTTCAATGTATTTATTTTGTTTGTACAAAATAAAAAAATAATTTTTAACGATACAATAGTCTTCGTTAGGCTTAACATCGACGAAAATTCAACGCGAAGCGACACGCAACGGAGAAAAATTTCAACACGGGATAAATTAATATATTTTTTCGTACATAATTGGTTATCCGAAAAATAAGTTATCCGAACAACCCCAGTCCCCAATTGATTCGGATAAAC